ACAAGGAGGCCTCAAATGGAAAAACTTACAACATCAAACTTGCTCCAAATGGGATTTTAAGTCTAGAAAGAAGGTCACAAATTGTTGGAAAAGCTCATAACATGAAATTGCATAATTGGTCAAAATATGAACTAAAATGGCTTATAATTCAAAGAAATTCAAAGTGAAAAATGGTTTGGGAGATTTACAAGTCCAAATGGAGACTTCCAATATATGATTTTGAATGGAAAAGCAATTCTAAGAACAATGGTTCAAACACTTTTTTGAGTTTAGAAGGAAAAAAGAAAGTTATCTTTGGTTACTTGTAATTGAAGAAACATTTCAAAAATGGACCAAAGTTGGAATGCAAGGGAATGTGTAAGATGGATCTAGAATGTTCATATGAGGTCTATATATTCATGAAATGAGGATTGATCAAGGGTTGGCTTCATTTTCACCAAGAATTTCACAAACTTTCTCATTCTTTTTCATTGAAGTTTCATTCCAATTCCTCAAATTCTTCACCAAATCATCATCAAAATCAACTTCATTATACTGTTTCATCATCATAGATCATAATTCAATCAAGAATCAAGTGTGATTCCTCCATTTTCGAGCACTTCCATCATCAACATCAAAATCACAATCTCCATTGGACAGCACAATTCAAGCCAGGAATCATCAAAGTATTGCATACAGAATTGAGTATTGAGTTAATTGATCAAGATCCAAGCCTTGGAAGCCTCAGATCTACAAGTCTCCATAGCTGTTTTCAAGTTTTTGCACCAGGTGTGTTTTCATTCAAATTGCTTGATTCAGTTAGTTAGGCATAGCTTTGTTAGTTTAGATATAATGTAGGATGTTAGTAGAGTAATTAGGATGAATTTGGAGTAGATTAGTGATGATTGTTAGCAGGTGGTAGAAACTGTTAGGGCTTGAAACTCTTAGGTTAATGCATCATAATCTTAGCTTGATAGGTCAGGTTAATCACCATTAGTTATAGGTTAGATTAGTGCAAGTTTGATTGAGAATTGTGTTGGTGCATCTCAGAGGATTTCCATGGTGACCAGAGTTTGTTGCGCACGGGTTTGTTGATGTGATGAGTTTCAAAGCAAACTAGTGCCATAGGATTATAGAGGGAGAGGTTCTGAGCATTTTTCATGTTGGCGTCGTGTTGATACATGGCCTAGAGATGGAGAACAGATGAGTTGAATGTTGCTCGTGCATGGCTACCATGGGAGAGGAAACCCTAAGTTTCAGGATTCAATGGAGAAGACATAATCTGGACGGTCCAATTCATGTTAGACCTTTGACTTGGAAGCCCATCGTGTGGCTCATATTCAATTCTGGGTTGGAGGGAAGTGAGTTGGCCAAAACGCACCGTTTCATTAATTGAAACGGGCGCGCCTGAGTTGTGATGTGTTATTTCCACCCCCCTATTTTGAGCCCAAAGTCAGTTTGAACGTGTTTTTGTTGCTATTTTCACCCCCTGGCGTTTTTTTTTCTATTTCTCATTGTTGCTGACTTATTCTGGGCCTTAGTGACTTTCTATTCACACCCCTGTCTGTGTGGCCCATCCTGAATCAACTGAACGCGCCTACTAACTACACCCCTCCCCCATTTATTTCTTTCATTTTGTTTTTTTATTTCTCTTAATATTTTGATTTTTCATTAATTCATAATAAATTCATAAAAAATCATTTTTAAGCCATTCTTTTTACACTATTTTCTTTAGGATGTGTAGAAAATTATAGAAAAATAAAATTGCATTTTTATTTTTATTTCATATTTTTTTCATATTTTCTAAATAAATGTCATTCTAAATAGTTTCATTTCATGCATAAATTTGTTAATTTTTGTTCTATTACATGCTTTCATATTTTTTGTTCATTCTTTTTATATTGTTTAGATTAGATATTGAACTTGTAGATTCAATTTAGTTCCCATTTTTAAGAATTAATTTTAGGTGATTAATGTAGGCTTGAACAATATGAACAAATTAGGGTTTTTAGGTGATGACTTAGGAAGTTTGATTTTTTCCCTTAGGACTTAGGATTTAAATAGATTAGTTATGGGACTATAGGGGTTATGGGTAGTTATTAGATCCCTTAGAAAAGGTCAGGATTCCCCTACTGCTATTGATACTGTCTGTTATATCTGATTGACTGGTGTGGTGTGCCCTCTGGGATTATTGCCTGCTTGCTTGGGTATTGGGATTGTCTGGGGACTTGGGGGAGCTGAAGTCTTGTGGAGATGAAGACCATTGGAGATTCAAAGATTGAAGATCAACTGCCAGAGTTGAAGAGGGGATTCTTGCTAGCAGCTGCTGAGGAGACTAGGGTTTAGGAGCTAGGCAGAGCTCTAGATTAGAATGATTGTTTCTCAAACATGGATTGCCTTGTCTGCATCCATCCTTCCTCTATGATTCAAAGTCTCTTTCAAATATCCACCTCCTTCCTTTGGAAGGATCAGTGAATATATTTGAAAGATAGAACTTTTGAGAGGAAACTTTCTGATTAATGTTAACAGTTGATGAACCACCCTTGGTAGGTAATTGACTGTCTAACATTTACTCACTTCACTCTTGTGACTGATTCCTCATCCTGGAGGTTTGAGCTTGAAGAAAAGCCATTGCAGATGGAAGACTGATGATCAAAGCCCTTGCCTGAAGGCCATGAAGATGGAGATTGATGCTTGTTGAAGCCTGTAGCTGATTGGAGATTACTTGGAGCCAGATGTTGATTCAGAGCTGCTGTGGCTGTTTATTTTTGCTGTATTCTATTTGCTGATGTATTGATTGGTTTTCTGGACTGTATTGTTTGCTGTTTACCCTGCTGGGTTGAAAGTGAAGCCTGTTCACTTTCGCCTATTGTTTTCTAGGTTCGAGGTTGAGTGGGACTCCCTTGCCTCGCTTGTGCTGTTGCATCCATGCATTTTACTGCTTTACTGTATATATCTGTTATTGTTTCTGTTTCTGCCTATCCCTTAGGATCTCTGTTTCTCTCTGTGCAAGAGAGGAGCATGATAGACACTAGGTCTTAACCCATGCATGATAACATTAGGTTAGTTTGTTTCCCTTCGCAACCGTAGGTTAGAGTTCTGTCTCTTTCTTTCTCAAAACAAACAGAAAAACACATAAAGATTTCAAACACCATAAAAGACACTTCTTTCGTAAAAGAATGTGAACTCACCAAAACGTCATTTTTGTCCGCTTGGACTGTTAATCAGAAAAACCTTTTTCAGAAGGAATAAAATCAATCAAGGACAGACTTGTGTCGTACGTGGCCCGAACTACGTTTGCTCTGATCTTCCATGCTGTGTGGAAGTACGTAGGCATAGGATGCGATATCCTAGCGAGCAACCTTCCCCTCCTTTCCCGTAGGTAGGCGAACTACATTGACTCTGATTTCTCGTTCCAGACGGGAATACGTAGGCATAAAGTGCGATACTTTGCCGAGTCATTTTTATTTTCATTTTATTTTCTTTTAACCCCTGACCTGTAGAGTAGATAGAATAACAATCCATACCCGAAAACAAGCGTGGATCCCGTCGAGTACGACGGACGTGAGGGGTGCTAATACCTTCCCCTTGCGTAACCGACTCCCGAATCCAGGTTTTGGTTGCGACGACCATACCTTTCCCGTGTTGTGCGAGGTTTACTCTGAGCGTTCCCTTTCCCTCCCGTGGGATAAATAACGCACGGTGGCGACTCTTCTGTTCAGCCGGCGCCGATTTTCGCAGTAGCGACACATGCCACAGTGACTAGTTTACTTTTAGATGTTTCACCATTCCATATGAAGTTTCTAGCAGCACACTATTGGCGGGGATTTTGACGCATAAGAAAATTTGAGATGATTTGTTGGAGTTTGAAGAGTTATTCTAAGAAATAATGTAATATTTTCGACAGGAAAGTATTGAAGTCCTAGTCGAAGAGATTTTTTCATAGAGGACGCTATGACCTAAACTTAGAAATATTTTTAGCCTAGACTGGAGTTCGAGGAAGCTTACCTGAAGAAGTGTTCGACAGGTGCAATTCAGATAAGGTTGTTAACTACTTTTTGGCCTTATCCATTTCTCAAGACACGTGGAGAGCTTTGAAGTAGTGAAACGCATGCAAATTGGAAACGTGGCGCTTTCTAGCGAAAAGACCGTTAGATAGCGGTTATTTTTGAGTTAGGATAATACTTTTCTTTTAATACTTTAGCCTATAAAGAATTTGGCTCAGTGCGTAACCTCCACACCTCTAGAGGGAGTTATAGTATCAATAGAATATTCATTTAAAATGATAGAGAAAGAAACACTTTTGATGCACCTCATAATAATGTTGGTTATCTTAATAGGGAATCCAATATTGATTAAGACTTTCTCAATACAGTTCCATTCCTGCCTATCATAAGCATTTTCGATATCAAGCTTAATTCCCATATAACCCTGTTTTCTGTTTGTAGATTTCTTAATATAGTTAAAAATCTCATAGGCAATCATAGTATTATCTTTGATAAGCCTATATTACACAAAAGCATTTTGGTTTTCATTGATGATATAATGAAATATAGGTTTGATTCTATTAGCCAGAGTCTTTGTGACAATTTTCAATATGACATTACATAGAGCAATGGGTCTGAACTCATTAGGTTTAGTGGGATGCTTTATTTTTGAAATGAGGCTGATAAAGTATGGTTTATTCTTTGAGGACTTTTCTTATTTTTAATGCATTTTAAAACTATAAAGTTGTTTTTTTTAACCCTACGCCTTTAAGAAAATTTTAATCTACGGACATGAAATTCCTCGCTGCAATCGTGATAAAGAGATGAGAAACAAAAATAATGGTAATTCTTATTAATCTACACCTACCACTCTCGTACTATTAAAATGAATAAAAATACAAAATTAATAAAAAAATATTGCAAAAAACATTCATAAGTGTAACACCATTAATGTATAAAACTCATGTATATATGATTGGTTTCTAAATATGCCATAATACATTATTTAATAAGATAACTTTTTTTCATAAGAAATTAATTATTCCAAGAAGAACACTCGGGATTCATTTCAAAGCGATGCAAACATGGTCCTGATTTCTTTATAAACCAGTCGCAAGAAGTACAAATACCATAGTCTCTACTTTCTTTATATATGTCAAACCAACGAAATTCATCTTTCCATTGAAAGGAACAGAAGAATAATGTAGTACCCCAAAAGTTATTTGAAAATTCGAAACCATAACTTTGACCATGATGAAGAAGATGAGCTCCGAGATTATCGTCTTTAGATTTACAATGAATGGTTAAATCTAAATTATCTCCTAGATCATTAGTAATAGTAAGATGGGCTGCGAGAACATTGTGCATTGATAGCAATGTCAACACCCATAGTAAGAGAAATATTTTAGTCAATACAGACATAACTCGTTTAACTAATCGTTTTTTTAAAGTGAATAATTTTTGTGGTAAGAAAGTTATAATAATTTTAAACAAGAGACATATATTTATAAGAGAACTTTAGAAAATATAAAATAAAAAAGTTAAATTTATTAATATATTTGATGAGTATATTTTTGGGTTTATACTAATATTCCTTTGTGAAGGAATTATAAATAATAGTATTTAATGCATTTATTTTATTTTAATATAGTAAAATGTATAAATATATTTATATGAGAAATATAGAATATATAAAACAAGAAAAGTTAAATTTGTTAATATATTTGATGAGTATCTTTTCTGGTTTATACTAATATTCCATTATGAAGGAATTATAAACAATAATATTCAATCATTTATTTTATTTTAATATAGTAAAAAGTATTAAAAATATAAAAGATAAATATGTAATATATATATATATATATATATATATATATATATATATATATATATATATATATATATATATATATATATATATATATATATATATATATATATATATATATATATATATATATATATATATATATATATTCGATCAATACTTTTAATCAAAACTAAATAAAGAATATTCTTACGTGAGTTGAAAATATTATTTATTTATTTCAATTTGATTGTCGTGAAAAATGTATAGTTTTATAATAGAGAATAACTTTTTTAGTAAAACAATATATAGCAAAATAAAAGTGATAAAATAGAAAGAGGGACATTAGATCAAAATTCTCCAGGAGAAACTAACTTAAAAGAAAGATAAATCAAATTTATTCTTTACAAAGTTTACCCTAAAAAATAAAGCTATATAACTAAATTGAATTTAATTTGTATCATTAAGACCTAATTTACCAAGAAAAATGGCGCAATTATTCTCTTCTTAATAGATGTGAGAAGTAGCAAAAAGACATATTCGAAATTGATTTTAATCCAGTTCCACGGAGGCGGCTTACAAATCACCTCCAAAATTCTAGGAGTGTTAGGAGGCCGAATTTTGACCTTGAAAGTTTTCAGAATCTCAAAATATTGGATGTTCACAAAGGAGGCCACATTAGAGTTATTACCAGTCAGGGAACAAGGTGACATAATATAAGAAATAGAAGAAGAAGTCGGAATTAAATTATCTTAGAATCTGGGTTGTTTCGAGCAATCCAAATAACATTGAACAGATAGATAAAAGCAACATTAAAAACTGAATTTAATCGATCAATCTAAGATTTATTGCAAAGATTCCACATTTCCTCCCAACATTGGAATCTAGTGTGGATTTTTAGAGTTATGGCTAACCACTTCTAGAGTTTAAAAGCATAAAGACACTCAAAGAAAAGGTCTAAGGCAGATTATTTAGATTGATTGTAGAGGGTGCATTAAGAAGGAAAAAGTATGCTTCTTCTTTTTAATTGATCATTATTTAAAATCTTTCAAAGTAACAATCTTAAAACCAGACAAGTTTTTGAAAGAGGAATAAATTTCGACCAAACCGAATGCCACCAATATTTGCAGACCCCCAATTTTTTCTTGAATTCACATGTTGATTTAAAGTGAGCACACCCGAGGGAGAGTTCTTCCGGATCATTTTGTCTGGCCGAAGATCACATGGAATATGATTATTATGAATTATGACTTGTAAAGAATCAAGAATATCATGATTGTAGTTCGAGAAATCCCAATTTTGATCAATTATAAAGGAATTGACTAGAAAACCTTCATCTACCATAGTTTCCCTCATTTCAAGGAACAAAGGGGCGCCACACCAAATGTTTTACCAAAAGTTAATAGAGTTGTCATTTACGTGAATCCAAGTTGAGTTGTCTCTAATTATCAAAGTCTCATTCTTGACACTAGACCAAATGGAAGAGAAGATGTGATGTTTAACAACTTTGTTCTTCCTCAAAACATGAAGCCTAAGAAAAAATTTCCAGGGCTTATTTGAATTGAAAAAATCTCATCCAAGCTTTAACTCGCTAGCCTCATTAAGAGTGACCTACGATTGAAGCCCTAAACTTCCTTCAAAAATATGTTTGAAAACATTTCATCCATGCCACAGTGACTAGTTTACTTTTAGATGTTTCACCATTCCATATGAAGTTTCTAGCAGCACACTATTGGCGGGGATTTTGACGCATAAGAAAATTTGAGATGATTTGTTGGAGTTTGAAGAGTTATTCTAAGAAACAATGTAATATTTTCGACAGGAAAGTATTGAAGTCCTAGTCGAAGAGATTTTTTCATAGAGGACGCTATGACCTAAACTTAGAAATATTTTTAGCCTAGACTGGAGTTCGAGGAAGCTTACCTGAAGAAGTGTTCGACAGGTGCAATTCAGATAAGGTTGTTAACTACTTTTTGGCCTTATCCATTTCTCAAGACACGTGGAGAGCTTTGAAGTAGTGAAACGCATGCAAATTGGAAACGTGGCGCTTTCTAGCGAAAAGACCGTTAGATAGCGGCTATTTTTGAGTTAGGATAATACTTTTCTTTTAATACTTTAGCCTATAAAGAATTTGGCTCAGTGCGTAACCTCCACACCTCTAGAGGGAGTTATAGTATCAATAGAATATTCATTTAAAATGATAGAGAAAGAAACACTTTTGATGCACCTCATAATAATGTTGGTTATCTTAATAGGGAATCCAATATTGATTAAGACTTTCTCAATAAAGTTCCATTCCTGCCTATCATAAGCATTTTCGATATCAAGCTTGATTCCCATATAAACCTGTTTTCTGTTTGTAGATTTCTTAATATAGTTAAAAATCTCATAGGCAATCATAGTATTATCTTTGATAAGCCTATATTACACAAAAGCATTTTGGTTTTCATTGATGATATAATGAAATATAGGTTTGATTCTATTAGCCAGAGTCTTTGTGACAATTTTCAATATGACATTACATAGAGCAATGAGTCTGAACTCGTTAGGTTTAGTGGGATGCTTTATTTTTGAAATGAGGCTGATAAAGTATGGTTTATTCTTTGAGGACTTTTCTTATTTTTAATGCATTTTAAAACTATAAAGTTGTTTTTCTTAACCCTACGCCTTTAAGAAAATTTTAATCTACGGACATGAAATTCCTTGCTGCAATCGTGATAAAGAGATGAGAAACAAAAATAATGGTAATTCTTATTAATCTACACCTACCACTCTCATACTATTAAAATGAATAAAAATACAAAATTAATAAAAAAATATTGCAAAAAACATTCATAAGTGTAACACCATTAATGTATAAAACTCATGTATATATGATTGGTTTCTCAATATGCCATAGTACATTATTTAATAAGATAACTTTTTTTCATAAGAAATTAATTATTCCAAGAAGAACACTCAGGATTCATTTCAAAGCGATGCAAACATGGTCCTGATTTCTTTATAAACCAGTCGCAAGAAGTACAAATACCATAGTCTCTACTTTCTTTATATATGTCAAACCAACGAAATTCATCTTTCCATTGAAAGGAACAGAAGAATAATGTAGTACCCCAAAAGTTATTTGAAAATTCGAAACCATAACTTTGACCATGATGAAGAAGATGAGCTCCGAGATTATCGTCTTTAGATTTACAATGAATGGTTAAATCTAAATTATCTCCTAGATCATTAGTAATAGTAACATGGGCTGCGAGAACATTGTGCATTGATAGCAATGTCAACACCCATAGTAAGAGAAATATTTTAGTCAATACAAACATAACTCCTTTAACTAATCGTTTTTTTAAAGTGAATAATTTTTGTGGTAAGAAAGTTATAATAATTTTAAACAAGAGACATATATTTATAAGAGAACTTTAGAAAATATAAAATAAAAAAGTTAAATTTATTAATATATTTGATGAGTATATTTTTGGGTTTATACTAATATTCCTTTGTGAAGGAATTATAAATAATAGTATTTAATGCATTTATTTTATTTTAATATAGTAAAATGTATAAATATATTTATATGAGAAATATAGAATATATAAAACAAGAAAATTTAAATTTGTTAATATATTTGATGAGTATCTTTTCTGGTTTATACTAATATTCCATTCTGAAGGAATTATAAACAATAATATTCAATCATTTATTTTATTTTAATATAGTAAAAAGTATTAAAAATATAAAAGATAAATATATATATATATATATATATATATATATATATATATATATATATATATATATATATATATATATATATATATATATATATATATATATATATATATATATATATATATATATATATATATATATATATATATATATATATATATATATATATATATATATATATATATATATATATATATATATATATATATATATATATTTGATCAGTACTTTTAATCAAAACTAAATAAAGAATATTCTTACGTGAGTTGAAAATATTATTTATTTATTTCAATTTGATTGTCATGAAAAATGTATAGTTTTATAATAGAGAATAACTTTTTTAGTAAAACAATATATAGCAAAATAAAAGTGATAAAATAGAAAGAGGGACATTAGATCAAAATTCTCTAGGAGAAACTAACTTAAAAGAAAGATAAATCAAGTTTATTCTTTACAAAGTTTACCCTAAAAAATAAAGCTATATAACTAAATTGAATTTAATTTGTATCATTAAGACCTAATTTACCAAGTAAAATGGCGCAATTATTCTCTTCTTAATAGATGTGAGAAGTAGCAAAAAGACATATTCGAAATTGATTTGAATCCAGTTCCACGGAGGCGGCTTACAAATCACCTCCAAAATTCTAGGAGTGTTAGGAGGCCGAATTTTGACCTTGAAAGTTTTCAGAATCTCAAAATATTGGATGTTCACAAAGGAGGCCACATTAGAGTTATTACCAGTCAGGGAACAAGGTGACATAATATAAGAAATAGAAGAAGAAGTCGGAATTAAATTATCTTAGAATCTGGGTTGTTTCGAGCAATCCAAATAACATTGAACAGATAGATAAAAGCAACATTAAAAACTGAATTTAATCGATCA